GGCTGCTGCTGAGGCTGCGGCTGCGGCTGCTCCTGCTCCTGCTGGTCCACGTGGTGCTCGTGGTCCACATGGTGCTCCTGGTCCACGTGGTGCTCCTGGTCCACGTGGTGCTCCTGGTCCACGTGGTGCTCGTGGTCCACGTGGTGCTCCTGGTCCACGTGGTGCTCGTGATCCACGTGGTGCCCCTGGTCTATGTGGTGCTCGTGGTCCACGTGCCCTTCGTGGTCCACGTGCCCTTCGTGGTCCACGTGCCCCTCCACATGCCCCTCCACGTGCCCCTCGTGGATCCTTACTACATGCATCTCCACATGCCCTTCTTTGCCCTTATCCACACGCCCAGGCCATTCCCGGGTGTTGATTTTTATGGCGACCCGCAGAGCCGACTTGACGGCCGTCTCCACCCAGCCATGTGGGTGGGCAGTGTGCTCCCCGGCGAAGTAGATGCGGCCGTAGGGGACCACCCAGTCGAAGTCCTGCCCATCGTCCTGGTCAGTTTGCCAGAGAAAAGGCGGCTGCACCACGAAGCCACCCTGGCTATGTGGGTCATCCTCCCAGCGCTTAACGACACCGCTGCCGTCCCAGAGCCGGTACACAAGCGGCCCGTGCAGCGTCGCCAAATCGTTGAGTGCCAAGCGCATCGCATCATTCGGGCTAAGGCCAGAGAACACAGCCGCGGAGTCTGCCCACGTGTAGGAGGCCAGCAGCAGCGCGCCCTCATCTGGTGCTGGGTAGAATATCTGACGCGATGGGCGATCGGTGTTCGAATGGCCGCCTTCAATACGCTCGTCACGCCAGAAGGCCCGACGGAAGTTTAGGAACACTTTGGTGGCCGGCACATAGTGTAGTTGGCGCAGCGCCTCCTGTCGCTTGCGCGACAGCGGCGGTGAGAAGGTGATACGCTGCAGCGCGGGCCCGCTTGCAGTCAGTAACACTACATCTGCTGTCAGTGCCTTCGGATTCCGCGACGTGTGCGAGGTCGCAATGTGCACGCGCACTTCTTGCATGCTCTGAGTTATCGCTATGACTGGAGCGTTCAGGAGCACTGGCCCCGACAGCGAGCTCAATAGCGCACGCGGCAGCAGGTCCCAGCCGCCCACGATGCGGCTGTACCTGTGGTCAGGCATAAACGTGAGTGGATATTTACAGCGGGCTTCCTCAGCGCAGGCCCCGGTGCGTTACTTGCTCCTATTGGCACCCCCGTCATCCCCCTCATCCTCCCCACCCCTCTGTGGACCTCAAGGGCAGGAGGCCTGCAGAGTAGAGGATATATGACCCAAAACCACACCTCTTCTCTGGGTTACACCCTTCTGCAGGAACCTTTCTTACCAGGTCCTCTGGAGGACCTCTGTTGCCCAGGTAAGCGGGACCAGACAAGAGGGACTGGCCTCTCCAATCCTTTAGCCCATTCCTTCACCCCTGCAGACCGGGCCCTTCACGCCAGCTCCACCAACTCATTCGGGTTGGGTTGGCCTCACCCATCCAACGCTCACCCGAGCCGGTCGCTGAGACAGCTGTGCGCCCGCAAGGCCTCAGTGAAGCTGAGGTGGAAAAATCCGTCTTTGGACATCACGTCTCCCAGAAGCCGCACGGCAGACTGGCTCAGGTTGCTTTCCCAAACGAGGTATTCCTGCGGGGCCAATGAAGGCCCAAATCAGGGCCCAGGTATGCTGCACCTGCCAGTGGTCAGCTCTGTCCCTGCTTCCCTGAGAACCTCTCCCTAGCTGGGTCTCCTGTTTCTATGGCCTGGACCTTAAAGATTTGGTCCCCTCTTGTAATGGATGAGGGAAAAAGAGGTTCAAAAAATGGGCGTGTCCAGCCCCAGGGGAAGGGAGCAGTCACACTGGAGCCTCAGATTCCTTACTTCTTTGGGAAAGCCCCGTGGACACCCTCTTTGCCTTCATTTCTGACAGCAAAATCGAAGCCACCACTCACCAGAAGCGTGAGCCTGTCAAATCTCTTCATTGCCTTTCTGCAGCCCAGCACCATGACTTCTTTGAGGGCCTGTCCGGGAATAAGCAGATGGTGCCAGCAGGAAGGGCTGGGTTCCCCTGGTTCTGCCCAAGGCCAGACATCCACCACTCCTTCAAGCCCCCAGGCCTCCACCATCAGCATTGCCCCCCACTGCAACTCAGTTGTCACCATGGGAAGGAGTACTCTTTTAAGTGTTCATTCCCCTCACCCCTCATTTGTTCAGCCCAGCCTAGGATTGTGTCTGTGCCAGTTGTGCTGTGTCTTTCTGGATCATTGCTGGCATGGACAGAAGATTGAGTCCCCTCTGCCGTCAGTACCAACAAGACATGATGGCTAAGAAGGTGTAATTCCCCAGCCTTTCTCTTGACCACTACCCTCTGGCCCTCCTCTTAGCCTGGTGTTCCAGGTTCCCACCAGCTCCTTGGTCAACCTTTCTCAAGGCAGCCCTGGTTCTACAGAACAATGGCCTCGTGCCTCAGCTGCCCTTAGTGCTCTCCTACCTTCATTGCTGCACTGTGGCTTCCTGCCTCATCTATTCCTGACACAATGATCACCCTTTTCGGTCTTTCGATTTCCTACCAGAAGCCTTGCTGCTCGGGTCAGATTTCAGCCTTCTCATTTGTCCACCTGCTTTTCACTCCCAACCAGGAACTCCCCACAGAAGGATGTGCCCCTTCACTCTCCACTCGCTCACTCAGCTAGCATTTCCCTAGGCTCCCTGTACTATCAGTGTCAGGTCACAGAGCTGACCAGGACTTGGTGCTCACCCTTGTCCATGGGGGAAATGGACAAGTAAGGAGCTCCTGGTTGTGGCCAGTCCACCCTAAGGGCATCTGGAAGGCCTCCTGAAGGGGAGCTGGCTCTCAAGGGATAGACAGGAGTTCCTTGGTGGGGAAGGAAAGCAGAGCAAGCAAGAGGTGTGGTGGGGGTGCAGGTATGGGATGACAGATGAGCATAGCAGGCTTTGAAGAGCAAAGAGCAGGTGCATCTGGACCACTAGGAGGACTTTGGGGGTAACATAAATTTCTTAGAAAAGAAAAGAAGCAGAGGCTGGAGAGCTGGGGGAAGTAAGGCCATTCAGAGCTGACACCTGAGTCTAGGGACTGTGACTTTGTCCTGGAAGGTCTGAGGAGTCAAAGAGGGCTGTGAGCAGGGTTAGCTCTGAGTGGAAAGACTCTTCTGGTGCAGGAGGCTGGGCGGTAATGGAAGAGACTGGGGTGAGGGTTCAAGAAGAGGATGGGTGTGGGCTTGGGCTTGGGCTGGACACAGAGGTGGGAACATGCAGTGGGGTAGGAAAGAAGGGAGTGTGGATGATGATAACACCTGTGGGTCTGTCCCATGACTTGGGGCTGGTGGAATCATTAAGAAGAAACCTGGGAGTACGAATGGGTTTAGGGAAAGATACTAAGCTCAATACAGCTGAGGGGACATGGCACAGGTCTGGGTTGCAGGAAATAGATTTAGGAAACATCACCTGGGTGATCAGTTTTAGTCAAAGGTATAGAAAGGTGAGGTAGTCCAATTCAGAGTGCAGTGGGAAGGGAAAGCTTGTGGCAGGGGAGCTAAAGGCAAGAGCCAGAGGCAGGAGATGATTAGGGACCACTGGGAAGGTGGGGCACAGAAGGTCAGGGTAGAGGAGGACATGGGGACACCTACTTTGTGGAGAGCCATCTGGTAGATTTCTTCAGGTGAATGACTCTTCTCCTTGGAGCTCAGGTTGTAACCCAGCTTCTCGGGCATCTTCTCTACCACGTAGTTCCGCAGCTTCATGTCATTCACTTCTGTCCATGTGTTCTCATCATATTGGGTAAATTTTGTCAGATTGAGTCCCAGGCTCTTGCAAAGCTCCTGAAGGATCCTGAGGGTGTGGGGGAGGTTGGGTGAGGGCCAGAGTTGGCAGTCCTAGTGGGGTTTGGAGGAGGGAAGTGTGTATGGATGTGAGGCTGGGGTAGACTTGGGATCATCAGTGCTGGGGATGGGAATTAAATGTGGACAATGTTGAAGGCTGAGGGTGGAACGAGGATGAGGACTAGGTCAGGAGCAGGGATTGTTTTCCCTGGGGATGAAGTTGGAGCTCAGATTTGATTTGAGAACAGGAACAGAGTTCAGGATGGATAGAGGTTAGGGATGGGGAAAGGGCCAGAGGCAGTGGCCACGCTTGTGCCTGGGGTCCTGAGGGTGTTGGGAGAGGGAGAACTGGGGAGGCTTGAAGGGGATGGGATAGTACTGGCTTGGGCTAAGGGCTCTGGCTGTATAAGATGACCTGAGTCCTGCAGCAGGTACCACAGCAGGGCTGGTGCCAGGGAACCATGAAGTTAGGAGAAAGATCAAGTTGCAGATTAGATTTAGATCCAATTTGTGTGGGACATCTAGGTGTGAGGGTGAGACACTGGAGTGCTGTGCTCATTGCTAGAGCACTTGCCTAGCATGCATGAGGCTCTGGGTTCCATGAAAACAAATGAAGACACTGGA